TGCTACATACTCTCTCCGTCTCGTTGAAATATTCCCGGTTCGATCTACACACATATTAAGGTAATAAACTTACCAGGGGGTAAATTTTACTGTTTTGACACTGTTTCGACACTGTTTCGACACTGTTTGACACTGTTTGACCCCGTTTTGATGTAGGATAACTTTGCATTTAGAGAAAGGGAACTTTCCGACGGGACATCCAAAAAAGGAAAGCGGGAACATTCCAACGGGACGGAGGGAGTATATTTAAAACCTATCTTTAAGGTTAAAAAATTTACTCAAATACGGAGTATAATTAATGGACAAAAGGTAACTAAAGTTATCTAAAAATAAACATTTTTCAGCTAAGGTCGTCTCATACAAAATTTGCTAATATTTGTGTGATTCTTAATCTTTTTAAACTTATTTTCAGTTTTTCAATTCAATATCAACCGCATAAAATCATTTTTTATAACCGCACCAACCCCTCGTGTACATATAGTAGGGGGAGGAGGTTGTACTATTTTACACATCGTACAAGAAGTCACATTTTCTCATCATATTTATTTTAGTCATATATGTCATTATTTTTTTTAACTATGTAGAATAGCATTCTATTTACATTTTTGAGTTTTAAGTATCTAAAATGACTTCATCACAAAATGGATTTAAATGATATTTAGTAGTCATCAATTTAAATTCAATCTAAAAGATGTGAACCTTTTTAGATTTACCGTGGACAATGAATAATGAATTCATTAACCCTTTCAAGAATATATGGACAATGAATTTAAAATTTACCTAAAAAAAGCATTAAAATTTCTGACAATGGTTGAAACTTTGAATTTACAATAACATGACATTAATATAAGGCAATAAACAATGAGGAGTTCCCCAAATAGGACTAAATGAAACTTTAATGGCACAAATCAGTCTATATTCAAAAGTTGTGGTAGGTTTTTGCATTTCTTTGAATTTCCCAATTCTACTGTAGCTTTTTGCATTTCTTTGAATTTCTTTCTTTTCGGATCTTGAGGGCGTGAAAAGCTCTTAACAAAGGTAGCCCATTGAAGATATGTCTCACATCTTATGTAATATCCTTTTGTATATAGTGTGACACTTACCCTAAAATTGATTTGGGAGCAACACTTGACATTATATTGTTAAACAATCGAAACTCGTTGAGCATATTAACATTGTTACACGATCCTGCAACTCCAATGCAACATTGTTCATCCACTATTCATATAACAAGCTTTTATCACATTAAAGTTTGGTATTTGCATCTTAGTACTTTAGACTAAAGAGGTCTATTTAGCTATTTTTCATATAATATTACCTCTGTTTTTTATTAAATATATATTAATTGCAAGTTTTTCGGTTCATAATTTTCAGATTCAAGCAATTCGGTCGTTTCAATCAAAATTCTATCAACTTCATTACGTTCAATCAATTTTAGTGTTGAAAATGCGATTCAATATAAAAATGTGACGTAGTTCAAATTTTCTCTCTTATGATTTATTAATTTGCCCTCAACACTTTATTTTCCTGGATCCGCCACTGACTTTAGTGACAATCTCATCCAACATTCATCCACATGAAAGACACTTTTAGGTCTCATTTAGCACCAACTATTGTTGATATTTTGTCTATTTAAGTTGCCAGAGTCCCATACATGTCACAACATTAGAAAGGATGATATGTTAATAATATCTTGGGTTGATCTAACTAATTTCTTAGACACAATCGTCTAATATCAGTTTATAGCTCAGTTGATCGACCCTAACTCAATCTTAAATTCCCGATATTAGAGCAAGTATTGGTTAATTCTCTCCCAATTGTATATATACAGAGAACATTATTTTTCAATAATTTACACTTCATGAGAACATACTCAAAGTTTTATGGAAAAATTCCTGGAAGGGGCTTGACCGGACCATACCCATGTCTATCTTTATTCTATATTCTATCTTTATATATAGTGGATCCCTCCCTAATACTTGCATTAAAGGTGAATCCATGATGGGTTCCTTGCAAAATACCACTACCACGCCACATGTGGTGGACAAACATGGAAGTTCAAGTGCAACATCACATCTATTTAATATAGATATAAAGTTACCCTATCTAGGGTAAAGAAGCATCCTAACTCCATCCTCCCAATGTATCGTCCGGTCAGGATTGGGGGCCCTCAATGACTGTAGGGTAAAGAAGCATCCTAACTCCATCTTCCCAATGTATCGTCCGGTCAGGATTGGGGCCCTCAAGGATGGGGTGTGATCCCTTTTTAAGAAGCATCCTACCTAGAAGCACTGAAGTTCTTGTCTATTTAGTAATCCTCTTCAGTCTTCACACATGTAAAACCACCTGATGTACGTACTGACCGATGATTGGACATTTGAGCCTGATCTAATCCTTCCGCAGCAAGCTCAAAACTGATTAGTGAATGGATGTGTTTGCCATTCAACTGTACCGTTAGCGGATAGCGGATTGTCAATAGCAAATTCAATCACCTATCTTGACTGTAGGGTAAAGAAGCATCCTAACTCCATTCTCCCAATGTACCGTCCGGTCGGGATTGGGGGCCCTCAAGGATGAGGTGTGATCCCTTTTTAAGAAGCATCCTACCTAGAAGCACTGAAGTTCTTGTCTATTTAGTAATCCTCTTCAGTCTTCACACATGTAAAACCACCTGATGTACGTACTGACCGATGATTGGACATTTGAGCCTGATCTAATCCTTCCGTAGCAAACTCAAAACTGATTAGTGAATGGATGTGTTTGCCATTCAACCGTACCGTTAGCGGATAGCGGATTGTCGATAGCAAATTCAATCAAGGGGTTTGACTAACGGAATAAAATGACGGGTTGTCAGAAGATGTTTGATAATTTAGCTGTTTGGCTATAAAATTAGTAGAAAGCGCCATTTTCAAAACATCAACCCAAAACTCTTCTATTAGCCACATTTTCATTTCACCGTTTCCACCCAAAAATGCTAGTGTCGAACAATTATTTACCAAACAACTCTTTAACATTATATTGAACACATTCCTTTTGTATGGCTATCCATTGTTTGTTTTCATAAACATTATATTTATTGAACACATTCCTTTTGTATGGCTCAAAATGTAGTAATATAATGACTAAATACAGTGATACAAATGATTTCACTAGAAAGGGTTCACTGAAGTATTTAAAGTATATTAATTTTGAAACAGAAACAAAGGTAAATGAAGAGGTAGAAATTATAGCTAACAATTAGAGGACATTTTAATTTTGCTACAAATAGTTATGTGACTAGTCAAACTATAAGGGCAATTAGCTAACCGTCGATGTTTTTAGAAGATGTAATTTATTTTGAAATTAAAAGCACATTATGTTAGGGAGAGTCGCCAACTGCCAACCAAGTTTGATGATTTCATCACTAATTAGTTGCCCTAGACTAGCTAGTAGACTCTTCTTTTACTAAAGTATTTCATGTAAATAAGTAGTGGTAAGTGGACCCTAATGCCATATCCATGCTATTATTTTAGGAAGCACTGCACATATTTTTTCCTTGTCTATTTGTTTTCTAGACAATGAATGGAAGGGACACTCACCAATTCACCAACTCTTATCCTAGTATATGAGAATTCTCTTCTTTCTTTTTACAGAGTAATTCTTTGTGGAGGTTTCCACCCTCATATAGTGGAACGTTGATCCTACATGTAACGCATTATCCTCTTAATCCAATTTAAAGATAACTACTTACTATTAATCGCAACATTGGAATATATACACTATTCATGTATTTTACTTTGACTACATTTTATTTATTAATGTATGTGAATTATATTTTTTGAAAAATGTTGTTAAATTCGTCTCATTACTAAGTTTTATAATCTAAATTTTATTTTATTTTCACCGATACAGAATTAAATATAATGACGGTCAAAGTTGTGCGTTGGCAAACGTGAAATGTTGACTGTTGCAACTAAAAAGAGATAGAGGAAGTATTATATTTCACAATACATTTGTTTCAAACAAGAAAATGTAAAATAAAAAAAATGATCCAAATAAGATATTGTTACAAATTAATATGAGAGTAAGTGAGTAACCAGAATATAAACCTAGGGTAACCTGATTATGATGCCAAATTGAGTGTTTTTGTTATGTATTTTCTAGATATTAGAATGTAATTCTTAGTTGTACATTTTCTTTAAAATATATTCTCTCCATCTCGGATCTGAATTCTCTTTCTGGCTTTTATAGTTACGTAGGGTGCGTGACTATTACAGCCACATGATCCAACTTTGGCATCCCAGAGCTCTACTTCACCTGTTGTTGCCGTTGAATTGTACAAGACACCTCTACTGTGCGACAAAGGATCCAAATCCATCTGTCTCTATTTACCGTTACTAAATAAAGTATTGACCTCAACTAGTAACATGTTTGATGTGCACGGATGTATGGGCCTACTGCCAGCTGACTGAGTCACAGTGACTAACCTCCCCACCATCCTGTCGGGTCGGGGTGGGGGCTCCTGGGGTGAGAGATTCCACCTTTTGGAACAATGTTTTATGCTGTATCGAAATAAAACATTTGCAAAAATATGTATACACAGTAAAAAGAAGTATTTCTAGAAGCTAAAGAAAAATTCTGATTTTCTTAAATTTCGTAAAGATGAAACTGGAAGCTTTTTTAAGAGATATAGGGGTGCATAAAAGTTTTTTTGCAGTATGGATATATTCTCCTCACCAAGATATTCTTTGTAGTGAATTAAACGATTGTTTACTACTCCAATTAATCTTTTCGGTGAGGATGTTATGTCCACATCCAAATTTGGCTGTAGAACCAGATGCCATATCTCTTGATTTGATAAAATTCCCATCTTTTTTCCCATACGTAGTACAGTATTATCTAAAAACTGATTCTTTAATCATAGTATTGCTGTTGAGATTAACTCATTAATGAATACTCAAAGTTCTGATGAGGCCTGAACTAGTGAAGAGTCCATTAAAGTATAGATAATTAGGCTTCAATTCATATTTACAGACATCTTATTGGCATCTCAAAATGAGAAAAGAGGCATATAGAAGATGCACAACCATTTTTGCTCAATCAACATATATTCAGGTTGAGACAATATTGTACAAAGCATAATGGAGAAATAACAAAAATCTAATGAACAAAAGTAAAACAAGAAACTTGTTTCAGTATACAATTGCTTCAGAAGTAACCTTCTCACCGTTTGTGTGTGTATATATATCTATATCATTTCACAAAATCGAGAACAAGAACACCAAGTGGTCCTGATACCACCATGATTTCCAGCTAGTAGTTATACATGAAAACAAAAACAAAAAAAGTATTATGACTAAGGCTTCTTTAATGAGAACCCATTTCAGCAGATTCTCTCTTCCCTGCAGAGAGATGCTGTTTTCTACAGATCCACAGTTTAGCTCGATTTGGATTAGTTGGAGTGTGCCTTCATATTTCTCAAAGTCCACAATCCAGTCCTCTTGCTTCTTGCCCTTTCATTATTCTTAGCCTTTTGCATGATGACAAGAACATTCTGCAATAGCATAACAAAACTGAATTAGTATACATTTTTATTTATTTCTGTGTTTTATGGCATTAGTATACATGAAGTCTAAGGGCTTGTTTGGTTCGAGGTTTTCCAAAAGATGGGAATGGATGATTTTTATCTAACTAATTTATTTTAAATTGTTTGTTTTAAAATAGAAAAAACATTGTGATTAGTTGAATCATTTGTACTTGGTCAATTTTTAAATAGCTGTTTCTTATCCCTATTTAGAAAGTTTTTATTATTTACCCCATTTACATTTTTAGCAGCTTCTACCTTACTTTTTCATTACAATTTCATATTCTTTGTAATTATATTTTATACCCTTTTTTACTTTTCTTCTGAAAGCATTATTTACAACTAAATAAAAGGTGTAAATACTACCCTCCCTTTTCCTCCTTTCTAAAACTATGAAACCAAACAAGCCCTAAGAGTCCTGTGATTTAGCAGGAATGTTGTTGAGGTTGATGAGAGAACTTACTCCCAAGGGACATCTCCAACAAGCATCAGATCACCATCCTTGTCTTCATAAGCAGGGGCATATTCTGATCCTTTGTAGCCTTCTCTCTCAGAGTAGTCACCTATGGTGAGTGTGAACATGTTCTCCAAACCTCTTAACAATTGTGGATAGCCTTCATACATTTTCAGATCAATTTTCCTAAGGTAAGGGGCTCCATCCATGCTGACTTTCACATACATTGCACTATCACAGCCCTCATCTCCATTCTTTGGCTGCTGCCCACTGTTCTTCCTGTAAGATCTTACTGGTGGCCATCCAACTATCTGAGCCCTGCATATGTTTATATAGTTGAGTTAATCTGATATCTCAATTTTTTCATTTTCCCAAAGCATGATCTATTCAAGAATTGAGGTTCCAGCTTAAAATGAAGTTCATGTCCTAACATGGTATCAATTATCATTGAAACTAGGGAACCTACTGCAATCTAAAAAGAACACACACATCCAAATATTGATGATATGTTTCAATACCAATACTAGATCACAGTCCTTGTTATAGAAAACAAAACAAATTTAGAAGAAAAAAACAGTTTTTTTATAAGACTTCTTTGTACTACTCCTCTTATTTGATTAAATATAACCATGTGTGACTTACTTGGAAACAGGTATTGAGGAGTGAGCATCACAATCAGATCTTGATTCACAATCCTCTTCAGCTGGTTCTGGTAAAGCTCTCTTCTTGTTCTTGTTAGCACCTGACACCAATTCCCTAACACATTCTTCTGTGCCAGGCAACCCAAGTCTGAGCTCTGTGTCTTTGAGGTTCAGATCATGATCATGATGTGCCACACACCCTTCCATTTCCCCAATTCCTTAAAAAAGAAAGAATCTTGAATTTCAAGACTCAAGATTTAAGACAAAACCCAGAAAATTTTCAGAAAGAACTGGTGTAATTTCTCGGCCAGATTGAGAATCCGAGAGAGGAGGAGTCTCTGCTTTTCGAATGTCCAATAAAGTATGAGAATGAATGGATGATGCAAATCTGGAATGGGGGTGGGGGTATTATATGAAGGAGCACAAGTTAAGTGATGAAAGAAGAGGTCCTTTTACATACAGACTATTGCACAAAATTGGGACAAAGTCAAGGAAAGATGTCGGGGGGGTGAGCAGCAAGGTTGGGCAAGTGCTAGCGATGGTGAGGGACAAGAGTGGGACAAGGGTTGGCCGCCCAAATGGAAAAAGAATGGGTAGTGAGTGGGGAAGATGTGTGTTTGGGAGCAAAATCCGGGAAAGATTGACGAAACACAGAGGAGAAAGAAAAGATGGGATCTTTTCACATTAATGCCTATGTGTTGTTCTATTAACCGAACTTATCATTGAAGAAGGGGGGAAGGAAGGCACCAGTCAACAAGGAAGAAGGCTCATAGGTCCGTCCAATCGTAGTCGGGCCTTGGTCGAGTCGGTCAAGATTTTTAAATTATTTTTTATATGCAGACTAATAAACTAATGTAAAATAAACTAATAACGTATGCTACTCTCTTGAAACTTACTCATGTTTGACTTTTTGGTCAATGCTATTAAATTATGATTAATAATTGTATTTTTTTAAAGAAATTATTTGTAGGGAGAAATTCTTAATTAATACGAAAAACATATACAAACCTTCCTTATTAAAATGTAAAATAGTTGGGTAACACTTATTTTAACACTTTTTTAAATGTAACACTTATTATAATTCATTTTTTTAATTTATGATTTCACACCGATAGAGTTTTGGGACTAGTCCCAGAGTCTAGTCCCATAACTCCATCACACATGTTGAACCCTATAATCATGATAATGGGTAAGGTTGAGGTAATTTTTCTAATTGAATTGATTTAAGTTATTATAGATACTCATTTTAACAATTTATCATATTATTGTTTTGTTAATGAAATACATTTTAAATATATTTTTTCTATAATTCAACATATTCAGTCAATTCAACCGTTTCAGTCAGGATTTAATCAATTTTAGAAGATTCAACCATTTCAACTAATTCTTAGTATTATCAAACCGGCTCATTATCACAAAATATAAAACTTATAATTTTCATTAAAAAAATATCAATCAAAATAATTTACCAAAATTATTATCATACTTAGCCCAAGCAAGTCAAAGATTTACAAAATTTTAATCCCAAATTATATTATTCACTTTGTACAAACACACACACACATAGGGGAGGGTTCTAGTGAGAATCCCTCCTAAAATGAGAACTCATCGATAAATGAGAACTCCTAATCTCCACCTTTGAGATTCACTAAGACTTTTAATGTAATTTTTAAATATTTTTTTCTAAGAAAAATTTAAATCGGATTGAAATTTTCTTATATGGGCTGATATGTTTTAATGATAAGTGTTTGATTTATTTGTGCATCGTTTCTATTTAATTTATTTAAAAAAAAGTTACGGAGTATTTATTACTCTATGTGTTTTTAACTAATTAAATGATTATATACTATTCACACTTAAATAATTGTAATATGTTGAATTTTACACACGTACTATTCACATGCTCTAGTTTGACTAGATTTTATTTATTAGTGTACTATTATTACAAATTTATTTTTTGAAAAAATACTACGTATGAAGTTCTTCTCATTTAATTTTAAATTTTTAAAATTTAATTTAAAAAATTACTACTAAAAATTTAAATATATTAATGATAAAAAAAGAATGGAGTACGTATTTAATTATTTATGCATTATCATCATATCATATTATTATCTCGTTGCCACGTTTTAGTTCTTTCCTTTTTGAGAGGCGTGTATGCTAGCTTATACGAAGTAACACTGATTAAAAGTGTTGCATGAATGTCTCAAATGCAACATTTTTTTTGCAACACTTTGACGAGCATCTAATGCAACACTTTTTGGAATAAAAGCAACACTTTAGGTATGACTTTATGTAACGAGACTCAAAGTGTTGCAACACTGATTAAAAAAGTCATATCTAAGATAAAACACTTTTATCTTATTATGCAACACTGATTGAAAGTGTTGCATGAATGACTCAAATGCAACATTTTTTGCAACACTTTGACGAGCATCTAATGCAACACTTTTTGGAATAAAAGCAACACTTTAAGCATGACTTTAGGTAACACTTTTTAGTATATATGTAACATATTTACAATATTATTTTGCACACTAATTATATTTTGTAACACTTTATGAAAATTTTAGGCAACAGTTTATTCAAAATTGGCAACAATTGGCATCTAATATGCAACACTATATTAATCATTTTGCAACATTATTTTGATAATTTGAGCTACATGTTTACATATAAAACATCATGCCTATTATACAAATTTTATACTTCGTATACAATAACAATATTTCAAGTATTAAAATACTCATAATCTGTAATGATGAAGAATCCAACACATGTTATACTAGAATGAATATCTTGAATACAAGCATCTTGAATAATGCATTATAAACAAAAAACTAACATTGTCCAATTTGAAAAGAAAACCAAAATATCAGAGCATACTTCTAATAGCAACTAAAAAACTTCTAACTCGCCGGAACCAAATAGGCGGAAGACAAGTAACTTCATATCTTCAATTCTATAATTCAAGTGAAGCTGGATCAAGATCTAGAATCAATGCAGCAAGCTTTGATAGAACCAAGTTCATTTTATGTTTCTCAATCTCACACTACTACATTTTCGAGTCTAACGTAACATTAAAATTGTAACGTTTATTGAAAGTGTTACCTAAAATCAGTCTATTGTAATAGTTTTGAAGATTTCGTTACATTTAAGTCAAAAGTGTTACATTTATTGTAGTGCTAATGTAACGCCGGTATACGATTTAATAAACTATTACATTTGTTCACCCGATGTTACTATTGGTGGACTCTAATGTAACACATCTAAAGCCGCAAAATTGAGAGCATATTTTCATTAAAAAATTTAGCTAAAATTATAGCGCTTAAAAGAGGACGGTAGAAAACCCTAAGTCATGAAAATTTAAACACCTGCTCCTGCAAACACTTTACTTCTTCAGCATAGCTAATCGTTAACTCAAGTTCTGAGAGACAAATGCCTCAACGTAGCCCTAGCAGCCTCCTCCCATCGGATAGTAGACCCTCCCGCGCCCTGCCTGCGCCTCTCCACCCTCCAAGTTACATTTGTTGCTTTCTTCTACAGTCCGCCGGATAGCAAACTGCTCCGCGGCTCGCCTGTGCTTTTCCGCCATTGGCCGATGCTTTCTCCAATCACTACATGTTGTCCACCGGCCACACTCCAGAGCTACTACGCATTCTGCTCACTGCCGCTAACCCAGATGAGTCGCACCAAAGGCATCTGCTCACACTGGATAACTCTTCCTAACCGACGGATCTCACGAAAGGATTCATCATTCACCGATTCAGGTAAATCTCCCTCCTACTTGTTGCTTGGCACCATTTTATTTCTCTCCTTCATCCCTCTTGTGTGCCCATGTTTGTTTAATTCCCCCAATATCTACATTTATTTACTTGTTACCTAATTCCGATTTTCTCTTAATTTGAATGATGAATTGATAATCATTGATTATGATATTATCAAAAAATTGTAACCTAATTTCAATTTTCTCTTAGAACGAATGAAAGATTGATGATAACAGCTTGCCCCTTCTGGCTTACTTAAGTCATTTGTAGGATTGAGTTTACGTTCTCTTGGATGTTGAATGAGTTTTCCAAATGGCCTCCATCAACCGCTAGATATATGTTCTCAAACTCCTGCTTGGTATGTATGTATTCTCAAAGAACCAAAAAAACCTGTAAAAATTAAGGGTACAACCACAACCATAGGGGAGGCCCCATTGTATCCTGTGGCATTACAGAACATTTGGAGGAACGGTTAACTCAAAACTTTAAATTGATTAGTTTGAGAATTATTCAGATATTATAACTACTAAAAGAATGAGTTTTTCTAGGCACTGTATTCTGATGTTATTCGGATGTTTTTTAGGCTAACTTCATAGTTGTAGTTCGGGGCTGACTGTGACTTAAGAAACTGAAATTCATTGTAATTATCATCGCTTTCATCAGCTTATGAAGAAGGGTTCTAGTCTCTCAATAGCTCTGTTAGTGATGTAGGTTTCACTGAAATTTTCTTTTCTTTGTCAGGTTTGCATATGCAGTCCCTTATATATCATCTTAAGGTTTGACATCGTCCCCTGACATTTTCATAGTATAGAAAATGACATTTTCATTTTCTATGGCATACACTGTGATGACTTTTATTATGTCAATCACTTGTGAGATATATCCCACATGTCAAAGTTCTCCTTGTGATATCTACTTGTTTCTACTTTCTAAACTTTTAACGGTGAAATATAACACTCCCAAGTTTGTTAGTAGATAACAAGTAATATATATATATATATATATATATATATATATATATATATATATATATATATATATATATATAGGGATGAGATCACATACAAACCATGCTTAACTTACTAACCTACAAACTCAATAATATGCACCACTTTAAACTTTAATATGCAGTACAAATAATGTAAAGATGCACTCTTTGAATTTCAATATGCAATACAAATAATGTAAACATGAAATTGCTATTTTATAGCTTGAATAATATGAAACACTTTGAACTTCAATGTGCAATACAAATAATGCAAAGATGATTTGAATGGGAGGACTAGTTTGTATGTGATCCCACCCCTTCATCTTTACATTATTTTTACTGCATATTGAAGTTCAAAGTGATGCATATTATTGAGTTTGTAGGTTAGTATTTTAAGCATGGTTTGTATTTGATCTCTTATATATATATATATATATTGGATGAACTGTTGACTTTCTTGTATTAACACTTTCTCAAAGGCAGTAACTACTCCGGGAAACATATGATGTACTTTATAGACTGATCTCAACAAAGGGGAAAGAAAAAAGGGAAAAACAGAGTAGAGTTCATGTTAAAAACATTTCTAACTAATCTGATGTGAATTTATAAGCAGCAAAGGTTACTGCACCTGCCGGTGCAGCTTTAATAACTGGTGGGACAATGCCTTTATAGACACCGGCCCATCCCTCCTGGAGTAAAATGTGACTGAGAGCATCATAATTATTTCTGTCATTAAGCTTGACTTGAGCACCATATCTTGAATGCCTCTTTAGTCCTTCAATGTGAATCCCTCTTCTTCACTAGGAAAAGCTGGAAGCCTGGAAGAGAATCAAGGATATCAATGAACGCAGATCTCAGGCTCAGGTAAACCTGCATGCAAAATCCCTTCCCAGCTGCCCCAGTTCTTCTTCTTCCATCTCTCGTATTACACTACACTGGTACTACCTTATAGAGAAAAATTGGAATAGGAAGACGTGAACAACCATCAAAATTTCCAGATTTTCAATGCAATAAAAATATGTGGTACTTGCTTCAATTTTGTCTATTTAACATGCAAATCTGTACATAGTATATTACTGGGGGTATGTAATTTTTTCAATTGTTTAAAAACTGCAGATTTGCATCCAAACATTGCAGATTTATAGCTATTTTTTAAGGTACTCTTTTATCTCTTATTTGACTAAACCTAAATAAATGAATAGAGAAAGCCTATAGAGCACTCTGATTATTTGTAATTTTTTCAAAATTATGGAGATATGAATTAAAAAGAAACCCAAAATTATGTCTACAAGTATATTTCATTTAAAAGGTTCTGTCCAATTTTCTCTCCACCCAGGTTTACAAAAGAGGTTCCATATATATGTCATATAAAGGTTAACCTACCCTCTTTCTTATATAAGAGTAGGACATCCAGAGTTTTTGAAAAAAAAATAATCCATAAAACTCATATATATTACACTTTCTTATATATGTCATCTAATGGTTAGTCTATCCTCTTTTTTTGCTAGTAGAGTTTTTTTGTCAATCGTCACAAGTACCAAAAATTGGAAAGTGATGTCTAGGTTGATCTGGGGTGACGGCAAGTTGTTGCACAGGTATGATCATATAGCTTCTTAGGTATTGTTGACTTTTTACACCAATGCTAATTCTTCAGGTTACTTTACTGAAAGTAAACAATGAATTCACTCAATTTTCGATGGAATTTGATTCTCTTGATTCCAGCTCACTACTAGGCTGATCAATGGTTGATTGTAATCTCTCATAAAAGATTGAAGATATCCAGAAACATACTCACCTCGAAAGGGCTGTCTTAGGGAGTCCATGGAACTACGTACACTACTCATTTTTATCCAAGATTGAAGAGAGATTAAGAGGCTTGCTCACCTTGGAAAAGCATCTTCAGGCTTTATCTTAGGGAGTCGAATTAAGTTATCATATTATTAGCTTTGTTTTTTTAATATCTTTAGTTTAGTCTCAAATGTTAGAGGTGCTTTAATTTTAGACGTTTAGGGGTAAGGTGCATGTCCCCCCCTATTTTTATTGTATCATGTCTTTATTTTGAATAAAATTTGATAAATGACACTCTAATTTGGTGATTTGTCTTTAATATTATATTATTATTATGTATGCAGTATATTTTATACTACGTATTAGTTAACATTAGATAATAATGAAATATGACATTTGTTACCTAATGTTCCGTAGGTGTTACATTTGTGTTGGTTAAGGACCGTTACAAATGCACTCAATTTGTGGTAACACTTTCGATTGGTTAAGAAGACCATTACAATTGGTTCTAAAAATCGTTACATAGTGTTACATTAGAGAAAAGGCAACGCCAGCGAATGTAATGGCACAAAACTGTTACATTTAGGAAAATGTAACAGAGTTATTGACCAATAGTGACGAAATTGACCGTTACAAAAGGCCGCTAAATGTAGTAGTGTCACGTTCCTTGCGCATTTGTTCTATTTCAACATTCTTTTTCTCGTTTTCTTCTTCAAACTCCTTCCTCAAAGTGCTCATAATTGAATTAATATCATTTGGTGTCATTGAATCAGACTGTTCAGCCTCTTTTGCGTTAGCAATGACTTTTTTTGGTAACACATCTTCCACACATTATTGGGAGTTGTTGCTGCTGATGCTTCTCGTTTTCCAATCGTTGAAGTTGTTGATAGTTCTGATTTAGTCACCAGCGCGGCAGTTAGAGCTGTCAAACGGGCCAACCCGGGCCAACCCGGCCCAACCCGTGACGGGTTGTGGTCTATGTGGTTTGGGTCGGGCCAACCCGTTTAATGACGGGCCATAATTTCTACAACCCTAACCCAACCCACCTAACCCGTGGGTTAAACGGGTTGGCCCGCGGGCCAATATGTAAAAAATATATATAACAAAAAAAATTAAAAATAATTACCCGGAAGTATAAATTTATATTGGTAAGTAGTAACTAAGGAAATATAAAAAATCAAAATACTAAAAATTCAATACTTGTTAAGTTTAATTAAAAAATATTAAATACTAGTTATACGAGAATTTCAAAACTATAAGACGGTATGCGACAAAATACTCATTGTATAAAAATAAAGATCTACATAAACCTTTTGAATAATTATTTGTAAATAATGACTACTAATTGTTAAATATTGTATCGAACTTCACATAAAATATACTTGTATGTTTCAACATTTTATTTGAATAATTATTATTGAAATAAATATTGTTTATAAATATGTGGTTGTAATTTTTTATTTGTAATTATAATAATATTTAAGATAATAAAATTTAAAACTATATTTTTGTATATTGGCCCGCGGGCCAACCCGCAACCCGGTGGGCCAACCCACTTAAACCCACAACCCGCGTGGGTTGACCCGCGAAACCCGCGAACTAAATGGGTCGGAAATTTTCAACCCTAACCCACCAATAAATGGGTTTAAATGGGTCAGCCCGCGGGTTTCGGCCCATTTTGACAGCTCTAGCAGCAGTCCTTCAGGCATTCGATCTGCTCACTATGAAGACTGAGGATATGGATTTCACATCTATAGTAGAATTGCAACTAAAGAATGGAGCTTCTTCCCTTGACAGCTCTTTGTTGGAGTCAAAGCCTATAATATCTACTTGGTGTTATGGACTTGTCTTATGGTTCAACAGTGGATTCACATATAGGTTCTGTAAGGAAATGCCAACAAATCTGTCGTCTCCATACCAGCCAACAACACACTAGTCACAGACTTTACTGACCTTCCAAGAACCAATTGCAATGTCATTAGGAAGTCCATCACCATCTCTGTTATCATGTTGTCATGGCGGCGGTGGCAAGTTAGAAGCACTAGGTACCAATGCCTCTCCGGCTGTAAGAATACAATCCCACATTAGTATCGCGCGTTCTGTGTTCTATTCAGCATCGCAGCATTGACATCTCCATGGAAGTAACAACAGTTGGTCATGATGGGAGAAAACACAGTTGGCCAGGTCAACTCTTTAATTTATAATTATAGTGGTAATTTTGGGCTCAGTTATAATCCAAGCCCTAAGAGAGGGCCGTTTTTGACTTCATCCTATACCACCATATCTTTTTTTGAGTTGTATTTCTCTTGTGTTGAAATACATTTAAGTTATGTTACCTCCCATCAAAGTTACTTATTCTTGCTTTAGGCGCTAGTGAAATGGTGGGCCGACTTGATCGATTAAGAGATCTAGTGCAATTTATTTAAATTAGGCCTTATATTAAAATAGAAATTGCTCTAAATAGGAGTAAAAAAGTTTTGAAATTCCAAAATAGGAGTATCATGTTTTTTATTCCTTGAATAGGAGTAAATTTCTGCTAAGTTTGACATTACTAGTCTTTAAAACATTGCATTTTCTTCCAAACTTGGCAGATTACTCCTATTTAGGGAATAAAAAACATAATACTCCTATTTTGGAATTTCAAAACGTTTTTGCTCCTATTTAGAGCAATTTCTATTTTAATATAAGGCCTAATTTAAATAAATTGCACTAGATCTCTTAATCGATCAAGTCGGCCCACCATTTTGTCATTGCAAAGTTAATTATTTCACGAGGCGAACCTCAAACTCTTTAGTAGGCTGTAGGACTATCAATTTGATAGAGACGCGGTTACGCGTTACGTATTCAGAACATTGTGAATCAAAAGTCAAAATGAAAACTACAAATGTTTCATAAAGTTATAGAAACCATTACAAGTAAATTACTTCCTCCCTTTGTGAGGTCACAACTTATAATGATTGACTGAGGTAAACACCTAAAAAAACCAAGGACGATTGACTAGTTTTTTTACTGGAAGGGACTATTGACTAAATAGAAAAGTTTATTAGTTTTATTCGGAATAGAAAATAAGTGTTTAAAATCATTATCATTACCGGCAAAAAGTGGAATGAGGAAATAATAGCGGCTATTTTCAATGAGGAGGAAAGCAAAATGATAAGTAGCATCCCTATCCGTCTTTCATGACAAAAAGGATGGTTTTTGGTGGAGCAAAGAACAAAATGGTATTTTCACTGTTAAAAGTTGCTATAAAACCTTAATGCAAGGAGTGGCAAAAGGAGGCTGGGGCGGCTGGAAAGATCTTTGGGAGCTCAAAATCCCACCAAAGGTTAAATATTTTATGTGGCAGGTTTTAGATGGATCTATCTCTTCCGTCATTTGCAAACCTGGAACGAAAAGGTGTGCCGATCCAAAATATTTGCAAAGCTTGTGTGGAGGGAGCTGAAGACTCGGACCATGCGTTGCGGTGCTGCCCGAGAGCTGCTGAGGTCTGGTCGGAGGCTGGAGTAGATATAGGTAGCAAGGAGACTTCTCTGAAGGATTGGCTTCAAGAGGTGCCGGCGGCTCCATATAAGGAACGAAGGTGTAAGGGAGCTATGCTAACTTGGAGACTGTGGAAACACAGGAATGCGTTCGTGTGGGAGAACGACTGGCAGAATACGGCCAGTGTCATCCTTGCAACGCCAGTGTGCTGCAGGCATGGAGGGATGTGCAGCAAACGGTGGTCAAACCAAGGAGCAGTGGGAGGAGTGAAGCCTAGAGCTGGAAATGACCAAAAGCGAGAGGAATCAAGATTAATGTGGATGCGACAGTTGATTGCATCGGGGGAGTAAGAGAATGGGGTTGGCTTTCCAGGAATGAGCAGGGCGATTTTGAGAAGGCATGTGGTGCTTCATGTAAGGCGGAATGGTCACGAGTGGAAGCGGAAGCGGTGAGGATACGCAAGTTAATACTTGAAGCTATTAAGGAAGGATGGGAAAATGTTGAGATAACCAAGCATTCCAGCTCAGCTGGTTGTGAGGTTATCGTGCCTAGTGGGAGGTATCGAGTTAAAAACCCGCTAGCAAGAACGCATGTTGCTATCTCAAATCAAAATAGGAGTTATAGTTTAATACCGGACTGCATTGTAAGCCATGTTGCGAATGATCAACATATAATTTCACTATTATCGTATTTTTAATAGTGAAATTAATAAAGAGGTTTGGTTCCGGTTTAAAAAAATCATTATCGTATTTAATAATAAATTATAGATATGATGAAACCATCTACTTTAGTATTAATATGTAGAAGATTGAGTATTGTAAATTGGATTTAAATTCAATTATATATTTTGTTAAGTCAAATCATATACGATAGTAAACATTTTAAGATTAGCCCATAAGTTCTACGTAGTATTTTTACTTTTCAAGTTCTAAAAATTTTACTACCTCTATCCCGAAAAGATTCGTCATATATATTGATTGTTCTTGATCAATGATGACAAACTTTAGATAATGATTGTAATTTATATATTTGTATATCATTTATAAATTTTATACTTTTGTGAAAATATTTTGAATAAAGAACATTTTGATATAATTTTCATATTTTAAATAATTTCATATTAAAAAATATCATTGGTCAAAGTTGATTATCATTGACCAAGAAAAGTCAATGTGGCGAAACTTTTTGGGAGGAATGGAGTATTTCTTTAACAAAACGCCAATAACGATAATGATAAATTATTAATTATAAGGTCTTCACCATATAAATTAGACCTTAATAATTTTAAACAACATCCAGATCACCGATTAATTAACCTGATTCTCTATTAGGGATTCAATAGTGAAATTGAAATACACATTTTTTTGTGGGCTCGATACAGGGCCGGTCCTGTCTATTTTTGGGCCTATGGACAAGATAATATTTGGGCTTATATTCAAGACAAATAATAAATTATATTTATTTAAAATAATAACTAGTCTTTCACCCGTGCGTTGCATAGGATTAGGAATTATGAAATTATTTATAAATCACTTGAGTTTTTCCAATCAATTAATTAGATTAAAATTGACATTGTTGACTATATGCAAGTGTACGCACTATAAACTAATTTTTAGGTTATATTTTAATATGTATCAATATAGTAGTCCTACAAAAAATCAACATGTATAAAAAGCGAGTTTGAAATTACGATTCTTGCAACTTATCCTCACGCATATAGGGACTTAATAAATACATCAATAAGAACTTAATAAAGATGTTAATACTAAAACAATCAAAAGAGTTTTTTGTAACATAGCAACAATTTACATCCAACATAAATATATTTCATGAACGTGAGATTTCTACAAAATTGATCTCATAACTCCTGAAAAAGTTGATGATTCTAGTGATAAATCTCATCCTCTCTCGAAGCTGCAAGAAGTGTAACGGAAAAGAAAAACCGATATGTTAGTTGAATAAAGTAAAGAGCTATTTCAAATTCATAACCATCTCATAGAAGTACAACTAAAAGAATACAAAAAGATTGTTGATACAAAGTATGTGAAATGAAATATAAGCGTGTTTCAATAAAGATTGTTGATAATAATAGGAAAAAATGAAATTGTTGATGACTTGGTTTCTTAAGAGTGAGCACTAATTACTTGTAAGATTTGACAAAGTAACATCAATGAATGGTATCTATTTAATAAGAGTGTTGGGAAATAATATACCTACTTGATATCACCAAGCCTTGAAGTAGCTATTAATAACCTTTATTAGATAATTTAACGAAAGAAGAGTTACAATGAAATTAATATTACGAATAACATTAGTTAAGAAATTAATTTATTGACTACACTCAAATAAACATACCTTATTATTAGAAGCATGATTGATTTAGTCCAAATTTCTAAAAACCTCCTTATAAACAACATTGGTTTTTGAGTTTGTAGAACGGCCATCTTTATCACATATTAAGATCTTCAAACCTTCACGCTTTGTAACTCTAGAGACTCCAACATATAATTGTCCATGTGTAAAACTTGGGTTTTGCAAGAAAATTCCAACTCTAGAAAGCAATTGTCCTTGATTTTTATTAATAGTCATCGCATATGAAACAAAAAGTGGGAACTGCCTTCTCTTGAAGTTAAATGGTAGACTCAAATCTGATGGGGTTAATGTCATTCTTGGAATCAAGAATTTTTCCCTTGATTAAAGCCATTCAAAATCGACGCTTCTATAACATGATCAGCAAGTTTTGTGACCATTAATCTTGTACCATTGCAAAGATCGGATAAGTGATCAATATTTCTCATCAGCATAACAGGAACACCAACTTTTAGCTTCAATTCATGATTGGGGACTCCCGAGCACTTAAAACCATTTAAAAATTCTGGAGTATGTAACTCACTAAGCAATTGATCATCAGATTCTGACTGACAAATTCCATCAGAACTAAGATAAGTGCGCACATCAGATTGATCTTTCGAAACCATGTAATCATTAATCATGTCAACCATAGAAAGCGTAGGTGCCAGTATTGCCCTTCCATCTAAGTATGTTGCATCTCCAAAATGTGAAGTAAAATCAGCCATCTAAGTATGCTGCATCTCCAAAATGTGAAGTAAAATCAGGATATATACTATCTACTATAGATGCAACATGGTCGGTTGAGCTATTTATTAGAAGATCTTCGGGAATTTCAACAATTCCATGTCCTTCATTATCTTCACCAAGTATGCCATCCCCAAGACTTAAGATCCACTCAGCAAAAGTTTGCAATTCAATACACGAACGGTCACCAAATTGATCTTGTAATCTCATATTATTTGTCAATTTCAAGACCTTAAAAAAGATTAGAAGTCATTCTTTAGAGGAAAACTGAGTTGAAAATCCGAAAACCCACAAAGAACATAATAATTTTAAACATACACCTAACTGGTCTACAAGGGAGTGTCCACCAAATTTAAGCTGAAAATTCAATTCGGAAATCAGTAAAATAAATTATTGAAAGGAACTGCGCTTTATATATATATAAATAGCGCATTATTTTTCAGTAATTTATTTTATTGACTTCAAGATTAAATTTAAAGCTTAAATTTTGTTGTAATATTTTAAACTTTATGAATAACATTCTCACAAATTTTCATTAAAATTTTCTACCGGGAACAAGCTGAAACGGCGAATTCCGTACGGAAAGTCCAATCAAGAGAGCGTGACACGAACAGGACTACACACACACACACATGTATGTATATATATATATATATATATATATATATATATATATATATATATAGGGTAAGGATCTAATGAGAATACCATCTTAGGAGAGAAATGAGAATGATTCTGGGGCGTTGGATTTGAGCATTGTGCATCATGTAAAACAGAAATGTGCATATAAGACCATGCTCCTTATTTTTGTCCTTAAAGGTAGAAACATGAGCATTTTCAATTGTAGCTTGTATGCGTGTTTCCTGCATGAATATTAAAAATAAAAATAATTGGTTAAGCTTGTTTTTTGTCCAAAGTTTGTCAAAAAACAAAGCATGCGCTATTACTTCCCAAAGTTTTTTTGAAAAATGAAAGAAAGCAGTTCGTAGGTATATTAATTAGGGTCCTTTCACACTTGAAGAAAATACTAACCAAAGTCTTCGCAGATTAATTAAATCATTCATTGTATATTTTTAGAACTTAAAATTGGTTAAGCCTATTTTTCAAACTTGTCAAAAACAACAGAAAGCAGGAAGTTGATATAAACTGCAGTTCTTGCCTATTGAAGATGTAGCAGATGAGGACAATAGCCGTGAAAAAATTTATCGAGAATCTAATTATAATGTAGAGGATAGCTATGTTATTGAAGAGCAACCCTCAGGACATCTACCTCATATTTAAAACCATGAGGGTGACTGGAAGGGTAAAGAATAATGAACTTCAAGTGCTAATAGATTCTGTAGCACTCATAATTTTTTGGATATAAAAACACGGCTAAGAAACTGGGATGCCTAATTACACATGACACTTTGTAGAGTATATTATGTCCATTTATCCATTTTTACGGTCTATTCAAATGTTTTAACAAAAAAGGTCATTTGCCACTCTACTTTCAAAAAATTATTTGACAGCAAATGGTTAAAACACAAAAAAAAATCGGCTCATCCTCCATGTTTGCAAGCATAAAAATATATGAAGGGCTTAGTAAAGTATAAACTCAAGAATAATGAGACAGGTACAGTATGCATCCCAAACGCGTCAATCTCAACAAATTAATAACTTGAATAAGTGAAATAATAAAATCACATTATGTAGGCTATAAGACGTTGGTAATTCTGGAAAAAGAGAAAGGTTCATATAACCAATATCTTGTGCCATTTCAGCAGCTCCCTTGACTTCCCGCAAAGACATGTCAATATAGCACCTTATACGGTTATCACTTATCGTTATCCACTACCTCACAAATTGACATCATACGGGAAATGTTGTCATACGGAATAAGCATTTTAGAGATAATTTAATTTGTTTCAATCTTAATGCATTTTAGAAGTTTTCTAACATGGAAAGATCATTCCAAAAGCATTTGTAATGAGTAATATGCAGGTTAAAAATTACTTTTTAAAGATTCTTTTTAACCCCATACCTTAATAGCCTGAAATATCATCCTCATAGTTTATTTGTATTTGTTTAAAGTCTACACAATTGTTTCTCAGTTAGTATGGTCAGGGCCTTAGGGGTGGGAAAGAACCCTGGTCCCACTGCATGTTTCCAAAATATCTCGTAACCGTAGTTATATATCAGTCGTATTAAGTGAAAATAGATTTCAGTTGATTTCATGCGACAAAGGTTATCTTTTTCGTTTTCTTAATCTCCAATCAAATTTGCATTTGTAGGTCTCCTAGAATATATTGGCTGATAGGCTGCTTTTTTGAAAAGATATAAAAAAACTGATTTATAACAAAGAATGTGAACATAGTGAGCAGTGAGCACAACTCAAAAAGCTCATATATCATATCCAAAAAATTAGGGGAAGAGAGAGGACCAAAAAATAAGTATGAGAATGACTGCCTGCTATAAAGGCACATGTATTCACCCCTCTTTTCATGTGTACTATGTTATATGTTTTCATATAATTATTATAGATTTTCAACCATTCGCAACACTTCACTTACCATATGGTGGCACCCCTTTTAACTATGTGTATTGGAAATTAATTCTTAAATCCTAGGAGTAGTACACATGCAGTAAAGTGCTAAGTTAGACAAATTTCCCATTTCTCAATTCCTGTAGTCGACTGAACCACTGAATAAAGCATGGCTGTGTAAAGTTGTATGTGTCGGTACTCAGCACATATAACCTGTAGCACCATAATCCAAGTGGAAGTTTTGGAATGAAGAGCCATCATTACAAATCTTACTTCCCCTCAATTATTATTTTGAATGTGGAAAATATTTCTTTCCATGCTAAAAGTCTTCGTGAAAGTCTAATCAGTTCTAACATGCATAAGGGATGTACTTCATGCTGCTTAAAGTGCCCCAGGTCTTTTTTTAACTCTTAATTTGTATGTTTTTCTTCTTCTTCTTTACGAACTTGAGTCTCAACTCTCAAAGACTATCTTCATTCACTCATTTTACTTGAAGAATCTAAGAACCTCATGTATGAGTATATAACCATTTCTTTAATTTCATTTTTTTATCTTAGATTATTAAATAATCCAAACTGAAAAAGTTCAGTTTTCTGTTTCAATTCATTCTGCTGCTAATTGACATTCTTCAAACAGACCTTGAAAGGAGAGTTTACATTCATTAAAGAATAAACTTCCATTTTTAGTTCAGTTTTTACAAAATGATATCAACAACTAAGCCAGATTTTAACAACTAAAAATCTGAACTAAAAATCTGATATTTACAAACTGATATTTACAACTGATATTTACATTCTTTAAGGTGTTAATATCAGATTTTTAGTTCAGTTTTCTGTTTTATTCTACTGCTAATTGATATTCTTTAGTTCAGTTTACATTCATTAAATAATAAACTTCAATATCAGTTTATATTGAACTAAAAATCTGATATTTACAAACTGATATTAACAACTAAGCCAGATTAAAAATCTGAATGTGACATTTTTACAAACACCTTAAATGCTTTAAAAACTGAGAATCCTAGAACTGAATAGTTCGACACTCCATCTCAAATTCAAAGCAATTGAGTTTAAATTTTTAAATTCACTCGATAATAACACTCAATCATATACGGCTCTGAGGAATACACTCAATAATAAAGAAGAATAATAAGAGTTGTACCTCCTCGTCAATGAGAACCATTTCAATCATATACGGTTCTGAGGAATTTCCCTTGCTATGAACATTCCATCTACGTACTACTCTCAGCAACAACACAACCTTGTCGTCTAGTTGCGTATTAACATTCTTCAAAACAACCTTGTAGGGAGCACAGTCAGCCATTGTAAAATCAATAGAGATGATATACGGCTTCCTCTAATTCTAGGGTTTTAGACGAATTTAAAGGGGGGAATTCAGATATTAAGTGCAGGTGACATCCATATAAATACGAAGTATAAAGAGTTTGAATTCAGATAGAATACTAACCGAGATGGAGTCTCCGAGGCTTGAGGGGAAGCAATTCCGAAGTTGTTGGTGAAACCAAATAGTTCGTAGGAGTCCAGATTGTATTGTCGATTGGAGTAGTAAGAGTCCAAATTGAAAGCAATACTCTAGGCATTGTAGAGGTGATTGGAGTAGTAGGAGTCTAGAAGAAGGTAAAGAAAGAAGCGTAAGAGACCTAACCGTAAGAGGAAGGTAGCGGTGATTAAAAAATTAGTGAAGTTACGGGAATGCCCCTGCGAGTCAGCGGGAAGTCACTTAACTCACTTAATATATGTATATATAATATATATATATATATTATAATAAAATTATCTAATAAAAGACATTAAATACAAATAAAACTCATTTTATTATTATTATTATTATTATTATTATTATTTAAATTACATATTTGATGAAAATGTGATTTAAAGAAAAGCATTACTTAAAATATCTCATTCTCGCGGAACATGTAATTAGTATCACATAAAAAGAAAAACATTACTTAAAAATCATTCTCTCGGAACATTGTGAAGCAAAATCATCAATAATTGCTTCATAATAAACATTTTCAAATATCTCATGATCAATGCTTAAAATTGCTAACTCATTAAGCTTTTGTTGATACATAGTCGATCGCAGATAATTCATCAATATCTTTGAAAAACATTACTTAAAAACGTTTCTCGCGGAATTTTCAAGATTCGATTTCTTAACAAAAACAAAATTTTTCATTGTTCCCTTCTAACTTAACTTTGTCTTTTCTAATCTTCTTCTCTTTGTCTCTTTATCCCAACCCGATTCACCAATGTTATCAAGAATAATTTATTGATCACGGATGGATTATTTGAAGCCTTGAAAGAAGAAGTTTTTTTGCCACCGACCGCCATTTGGGCTCCTCGAATGATTGACTTCAATTCTTAACAAACCGATGAGGCACTCACGGATTTGCGGCGTTCTTTACTCTTGTTGATATTGGAATATGGAAACAACAACAAAAAGGATGACACCCCATCCCTGAGGGCCCCCCAACCCGACCGGACAGTACGTTGGGAGGATGTAAGTTGGACTATAATCTCAATCTGACAGATAGAGAGTGGAGCTCTGTCCCCGGTACTTGCAGAGGCCCTATGCATTTTTTAGCATAGTAACCCCTCATCGCAGTTGCCGGGATTCGAACCCAGAACCTAACCATTGTGGCACTCCCTTCCTACCAGTTGAGCTACGCCCACCGGTTGGAATATGGAAACAACAAATCAATGTGCATGGGCTTTGTCAATTGGGAGTTTTGGATTTGGGAGGTCAAACATAACTTGGTAATTTTGTAATTAAAATGGTTTTAAAGATCCGAAGAGAATTAAGAGAGGTGTGCTACTTTACATTTATTTTAAAAATTAAACCTTGAACCAACTAAGTGAGCTTAGAAATTATATAAAAAAACCTAGTCACACTACATACAAAAAATATTTTTAGGCCTATTTTTTGCCCCTACTTTTTGGGCCTAGAGCGGTCGCTCCTGTTCCACTCGGGGCCGCCCATGGCTCGATAACGGAATAATTGAGAGATGATAAAAAAAACTGACTTCTTTAGCCGGGTTGACTTTGAACCAATTGAAAAATGCTGTCTTTATTTATATATGCAAGGTGGGCCCCGATTGGTGAAAAAAAATCGTTAAACTTTGATGGAAAAAGTTGACGGAGATTCAAAATGAACTACTTATTTCGTGCCAAAATATTACAGTATATATGTATTTCTTTTATGAATTGTCTCAATTTTCTTTCTTTTTTGATAAATGATTTTATATATCATTCATATTTTATGTTTTCACTAATTTAAATCTATACGTTTAACCTTCACACTTTACAACTTTTTCTTTCTTGCAATAATAGTGAAGATTACTCTAAGTATTATTTTATACTCCGTATCATTTTATACCTTTTAGTCACTCACAAATAATTTACTTAGAAGCCTGTAGAATATCATACCCATAACCCATGTGATCAATATTTAATACTATTTCCGTCTCACCAACATTGCAACATGGTGACACATTTATAAAAAAAATGAGTATATGTGGTTAATATTAAATTGATAAAGTAAGAATAAAGTGGAAAATGTTTGAAATCGCACAAATCATAAAAAAATTGGCATGTGACAATTTTATCAGAACAGACTGAAAAGGAAAGGCGTGATAATATTAGTGGGACAAATGAAGTAGTATATACTCTAACATGCCATAGATTGGGAGTGTAAAAAAGTATCATAGTGTTAGGCCTCTAAATTTAGAAGATCCAAAATTTTAAAAATATAGTCTATTCGGTAAACATGATGTTCTTATCGTAATTTTAGCTCCTCTCGCCTTGTATATATAAAAAAGAAAAAATTAAAAAAATAAATAAATAAAAAAATTAAAAAGAAAAAAGAAAAAAAGAAAAAAAACGCATGGTTATATGTTAATGAATGAACGAATTATTGTATTAGTTTACAACACGTTATCAGCATGCTCCGCACTAAACCCTAAAAATGCCTACAAAAAAACAAAAGTTCATAAATGATAATATGAATTAAAACAATGTACCAGAACTTGAGCATCCATAAGTCATACAATTCAAGGGTTGTATTGTCCTTTTTAAGGAAGGGCTTGTATTCTCTTAATTAAAAGAAAATTGATTATGCATTCCGAGGAATGCAACGCATAAAAGTGATAATATGTTATTATACGCCAAAATAAATTTTGGAAATTCACTCAAGTGAATAGTTTGAGACAACCTTTAAAGTGCCCTTGCAGAAGTATGATTATTTTAAATAAGGCCCAATTATTGTAATTAGTACAAAACTCTCTTAAAGTTTGAAACGGTCTTGTTATTCTAAATGGTATTCCTCCGTCCCATTAAGATTGTCCCATTAAAGATATAATTGGGCACATCCAAAAATGGTACTCCACTGCTCCGTATATAATAATAATACTATAGTTTTTTTATAGAGATGTAAGCCGTTTTATTAGTAGCCGTTAAGTAAACAATTATTAACATTATGTGCTTGCTTAATAGATGAAGATCTTAGTGATATGATTGAAATTGAATTATTACCCACACACATTTCAATATTGATAGCTGAATCTTCGAAATAAATGATGCATAACAAAGCTATAACATAATATACCAACTAAAATTGACTTTCATGTCTTGTTGTTCTTAAATTAGAGAGTTGTAGCAAGCAATAAAAATACAGCGCAGCGAATCTAAGTTCCATTGAATGAATGAATTACTTTTCACTTTCATTGTTTTTCTAGTTAAGGTGACCAATAATCTCTCTGTGTCACCAAATGTAATTAGTCATTATTATAATTCATAATCATTCTTACTTTTATAGTCAATACCAATCAATTCATAACTTCATGTTATTAATATTGGTGCCAATGTTGAATCTTAATTAAGCTTAAAGGGAGAGGTAGATGAACAGTTTTGCTTCTTCCCTCCCTTTAAACTGAATAATTAACATATAAAGTTGACACCAATATTAAATAAAATGAAATTATTTAAGTAATTGATCCCGCGATTTAGTAGCGTAAACTTATCTGAGTAACAATTAAGTAAATGTACTCTCAAAAAAATTAAGTAAATGTGTGCAAAAACATGAATCTTTTTCAGATAAGTTTTACTGTGTACATATTTTTTAATATCTCACTATAACTTTTTAGTATCATGAGTCATTTTAAATAAAGAAATGTTCTTAGAACAATGTATTATTTCCGCTTCACTTCAACTGTATGTAACTCGTGAGATTATTTTAATTAAATTTTCTCACGATTCCATGTCCAGTTTATGTATGTCTTTATAGTAAATACAACAAAATGTATATACACTTCAATATGAAATACTTCGTATATAAAAAAGAAACGGATAATCAATTAAAGTTTATCTTGGTAATGACTAATGAGTACATACTACATACGTCTCTCCCGTACTATTGTGGTATTGGTCATTACCTAATACTCCCTCCGTTTCTGAAACAAGTTCCATCTTTCTTTTTCGGGCAGATTCAAAATTAAATTCCACTTTCAAACATTTCCTTATTTGGCAAATTATCTACATCAAAACAGTGTCAAACAGTGCCAAACAGTGCCAAACAGTGCCAAACAGTGCACTCCACAGTAAAGTCAAATTTATTTTCTTAATATGTGTGAAGTCAAATGTGGAACTTGTTTCAGAAACGGAGGGAGTAAAAGTTTCATTTTGTCCGTTATCTTTATACTTTGAAAAAGTAAATATAGATGTACTCCGTACTTTATTTATAGTGACACTTTGAATCATATATTTGCAACCACACAACTTAGACCATTCTTTTCATGATTGTTAGGCGATTAATATACGGAATACGTAAGGGAAATGGTGGACTAAATGTGGACAAAAGATGTTAGTGTATTTCAGAATGACCATCTATTCCCAAAATAGGAGTAATTATTGTCATGTTTTGACAGTATCAAACTTTAAAAAGGATAATATTTTCCAAACTTGATAATAATTACTCCTATTTAGGCAATAAAAATTAAACATGACACTTCTATTCAAATTTTCAAACGTTTTTATTACTCCTATCTCTAGATTTTTCTCAATACTTCATTGGGTATAATAAAAATTATGAAAAAGCATACTTTGGAATTTTATTTGAGATGAGTTCTATAATACGGAGTACTTTTTGGAATATAATCCTATAATATAATAATAAATAAATAAAATGTGATCAAAGTAAAATATGTGTTTAATTTAGGGTGAGTTCGTTTTTTTAAATTTTCGGCCCCGTTTTTATCCAAAACTAAATATGGAATCTGTTGGGTTAATGGCTCAACAAGGGCCGGCCCATCAACCCATAAGGGTCTCCTACGAACGTCCCCAGAAGGCCCACGAGGACCTCCTACGAACGTCCTGTTGAAAGCCCAAGACGAGGGGTTACCTGTCCGCTGGTTCGGGAAGAGAGTCATCCCGAAGAGAGACAAGCTTCAAACACCAAGGGGCAAGGGACGTACGTACCCCATTATCAGCAGGGATCCATGCCCAAGACTCTTGCAAGGTACATGGGGACGAATGTCCCTACCCCTTGACAGGATGCTAAGAATAGCTCAAGAATAGCTCAAGGATAGCTCAAGTGCATGGGGACGAACGTCCCCACCCCTT